GTTTGAGTAAATGGACGCTTGTAGTTCCATAGTAGAGTAAACTCTTCGAAGGGCTATTTCATCAAAAAGATTTTGATTCTGTATTATTTACTTTTTTAGTATAAAAATATAAATAAAAGTATAAATATATACTTATATATATGTATATACATATCATCGTGTGCTTGAACTCTGAAAAGAGTGCCTGCAATAATGAAAATCAGACATAATTAACACTCTTCGTTTCTTAATTTGACGTCAACACTCTAATGATAGTTTTCGCGTGCCACACGATTATATACTCGAGTGACTTTCGATAACTGATGTGTAATAGATTTGTACTTATACAAACGTGCGAAAAATATTAAAAAATATTGTAATTAGTGCAAGTCATTTAGAACACACAAAGAGAAAAATGTAAGAAAACAAAACCGGAAGATTCAGAAGCGTACACGAAATACAATAAAATTTTATATTAAATATTAAAAAAATATTAATATTACAATAATGACATTAGCCGACCAGACAAGGTTAATATAAAAGAGTAAAATTTTGAGGTCGTTAAGACTGATATTCAGGACACCTAAATCACTTATGTTTGCAGTAAGTATGGTTATCCAATCCAATCCTTAATGCCGTTTCCTAGAGCATGCGCGACGGTTTACTAGATTTGTTTCCAACCGTTGGCTTTTCGGCACATTCATTATTTTGGTTTGAAATTAATTGCTACAATCTAGATTGATTTTATGGCGGATTATTTTCTAAAATAACACAAATTGATATTTTACTTGATGACCAATTTGTATACCAAAACTACGTTATAAAACAAATAGGATCACAAATGCAAATATATTATATAAATAAAATCGGTAGCTGTTGCGGAAGCAATAAGAAGCACACATTTTTATATACTTGTAAGCACATACAGTTACTGACAATTAAATAGAATCAAGTAGATGGTTCTGAAATAATTAATAATCTTTATATTTCTTGGATAGAGTTCCGATTCGTTTTGCCTGTAATCTTTTAAAACAACATGATAGTAGCTCTGTTATATTTTACTGTTATCTTTGTGTTCAAATTAAAAAAAGTGTGCGCCAGAAAAATAGAATCAAGGAATGAAAAGACCAAAAGACCAATTATAGCCGTTATTTAGTAAAAAGTTATATTGTAAGTATATAATAAGTAGGATATTTGTTAAAGCTTGACACTTTGTTGCACTTAAATATTATTTGCACAGCGGCAGAGCGTATGTTAAGTTCATGAAAAATTTACAAAAAAACAGTTATATCCAAAGGGAAATTGCAAAAATTATAAAAAAAATCCCAGGAATTTGTGTTTTCTGCTTTGAAACCTTCAAAAGAATGCGAATTGAGGGGACAGCCACGAAAAACGACGTCTCAGGATGACAATTACATAGAGATTTTATCAAAACGCGATCCTTTCTAGTTCTCTGTAGCTATCCAAAAAGAATTTGGCGAAGGATTTTTCGGGAACTGTTGCGCGTTGCCTTTTAGAAAAGAAACTTTTCGGAATGTTGTCCCGGAAAGTCTTAATATTGACAAAAAATAAAAACAGCGGAACAATCGGATTGCTTCTGCTTCAGCGCACATAAATTGGACTGATGACAACAATAAATTAACACGTATAACAATAAATAGTAATGACAATAAATTGAATGACAAGTGGAGGTACATATACAAATATATATATATATATATATATACGTATGAATATGTAGAGCAAAATTACCGAGTGACTAAGAAGAATTCGAAATAAAAGAAAAATGCAAATGCCCACGCGCTAATTTTGACGTCGAAATTTTGCTTTTCTTATTGACACATTGGAGGCATACGCGGGTACATATGTGTGTATGTGTTTGTGTGCTACTTAATTTAACACTTATCATGGGTGTGCATATATACATATTTATGTTAATTTTTATATGAAATCGGTGGAAAGGTAAAAAATAAGAAAATTGAGTACCGCATGGTTACATACAAACATGGTTACTAGACTCATGTGTGCTATATTTGTATAGAACGTGAGAATTGTTTAGTAAAAAATACATACCTTAACCGACGTTATCTTAATTCTGGGCTCAAGGCATCAACTGTAATACACTGCAGTGAATAATTTTTGTGCTTCTCAGTTGCTTGGTTAGAAGTCTATACTAAAGTACAATGTATGCGTTGTAGTTGGATAGCAAACGGTTTGTGATGATTCTGTAGAGAAATATGTTGGCTTTTCTTACAAAAAAAAATAAGAAAAAAGGTCACACCTCGGCTGTATATGTATGTGGGTGAGTAAAAAGAAACCAATATTTTTACGCTTGGTACTCAGAAAAATAGGTTCTTAGATACCTCTAAGAAAGTCTCTCCAAGTATGTTCTCATAAATATAACGAAAAGATCCTCCGTCTTACATTTTCTATTTTTTTCTTATTTTGATATAAAAGATTCAAATCTCGCTTTCAACTACTTCAAATAATATCTCGTTTCATAGATCAAGTAGGAAACTCTACAAAACGGTCTGTTACCATTTTTTCGTTATCCTAACTGTTTAAAAAATAATACCGGTTGAAGTTTGATTATTTTAAGGCAAATTTGTTTTTTCCTTTTGAATTTTTTAACTCCTTGAAAAAAAAAAATTATTTAACTTGCAAAGCTCATAAGTAGTCTTGTAGGAAATCTACTTCTCTACCAAAAATGGTATATTTTTTTGTTTTATTAATTTTTATTTTTTCTATTGATATGCATTGATGGTTGACTATGAATGTCTCGTACACGCTAAATTTAATCGTAAAATTATAAGGGACCATTTTGTAGATTAGCTGGAAACGACATTTGAATTTTTCTATTTGATAATAAGAAAAAAATAGAAAGCTGTATGGCGGAGGACTTTCCCGTTATTATACTTAAAGAGACTTTCTTAGAGGTGTTTAGTAACATATTTTTTTGAGTACCAAGCGAAAAAAAATCGTTTTCTTTTACCCACCGTAATGTATATGGTGTAGTGGTTCGATCCGGACAATTTGTTCGGAGATTTTGGCATTATCTTAGATATGCCAAATTTTGTGTGGATTTCTTGTCAGATAAAAACAATTTTCATGCAAGGATTTGATTGTGATTGATCAGATTGTTGTTGTTCAGTGGATAACGAAATAAATTCAAAGATGCAGCCTGCTTCATTATATATTCGATCTAATAATTGTGGGTATAAAACATGCGTGGACGCTCGAGTTTACCTCTACCTTATTTACAGTATAGATAATTATATAGCTAGATACAAACATATGTGCCCTATCAAAGTTTATTATTAACCCCACAAACTTTTTTCTTTACACCGTTATTCATTATTGTATATTGGGTAACGAGTCTTCTGCCACCTTTATTGAGAGTGAGAACAAACAAATGAAAATATTAATTTTTAATGTGGGTGTGTAGTAGAATTGTACATATTATGGAAAATCCATCTGGCTCTTTATAGGTGCACATTTGCTTGTACATATATTTATACGTAGCAGAAAAAGAGACAAAAATATGAATTTTATAAACAAGTAGTAGTAATATTTTTGATGAATGAGTTGAATTTTTATTATCACTTCTGAATGAAATATATAAACAGTTGAGATTGGATTTTATATTTTTCTTTAATATTCTATAAGCAGGAAAACTATAGCCAGATGATATTTGGTTAGAATTTGTTTGATTGTTTTGTATAGCAATTGAAATATGAAACATTTACATGAAAATATCCAAGAGAAATTTTCAAAACCTTCATCTTTCATAAGGAACACAGATACTTCTTGAACGCTTGTTGGTTTATTAGCGTTCCAAAATTTCTCATACTACCTATTAGCTAATCAAGCGAATTTAATGAAACCCACTTAGTGTTTCTTTAACCTCTAGGTGGCGCTAAAATCAAAATATTTTCTAAATGTATGGATTTAATGCTAAACATTTTACAGCTCCTTAATTTTTACGTGAGTTAAATTTCTAGTTAAAATAATTCACTTTATATGTACTTTAATAGCCCGAAAGATATTTTGAAATATGAAGAACTTAGTATCCCTATGGTTCTCCGTTTAAACTCATTCTCCCCCTACTCAGTCTCAATAGTTACGAAATTATAAAGTTCAGACGTATGGAGAGGGTGATAAAACTGTGACTGTTTTTTACCATACATAAGATAGAGATTTCATTACCCACTCAAATATGTTTTTTTAACCCACTAAAAATGCGATGTAATTCAACAGCTATTTATCATTGAAATCGCGAATTACACTTTCTTGATTTTCTTACTAACATTTCTCTGAAGCTATCTCCTATTGCCTACATTCGGAGAGTTTTCGGGTATGTTGTGATAACGATCGCTTTCAGGCAATTCGAATGTTGGGCACGTACTTTAATTTGACTGCAACGAAACTTAGGAAACCACGCATTGAAATTCACGAGTCTAATGCAATTAAAAATACTTGACTCATCTAACTACCCTTGTTCTAAGATATATTTTAATTTCGTTTCTTTTGCATTAGTCACAAATAAAATGTGTCTGTTTTCAGCTTAGATTTAGACTTTGTATTTGTATTTCCAGTTAGAAAACAATTAACGAATATGAATAATAAAAATGGAAGTAAATCAAAACACAAAATGTTTACAATGCAGTAAGCAGAAACCAATATTGGAGTAAGGAATTTATTTACAGTGCAAACAAAGTGCGACAGTCTGTGGAATATGATCGCAGACATGTGAATTGATTTATGTATGTGTGTGTGGATATATGTATGCATACAAATGTATGTTGCTATGTTACAATTTCTTATGTGGCTGAAATTGTTGTTGTAGATGAAATATATATGTATGAACGTATATATAAACAATAAAAAAATATGAATTTCCAATTAAAGAGTACTTATGTACACTCAAAATGTTCAATTGGCTTGCATATGAAAAGTACTCATACTAAGACTCACTCATTTACTCAAATGGAAAATGTGAAGAAGCGGCTACATACAACTGGTACTCGGGTGTAAATATTAGCATTTAATATGTATGTAGGTATGTGCGAGGTGTGCGGTAGCTGATGACCGATTTTAAAGCAAAAAAAAAAAAACGACAAAAATTACAAACACAAAATTCAATTGAGTACTGTAGCAATTGAGAGTTTCTGGTGGTTAAAAGAAGAATTTATTATTTCTAGCAATTATTGCAAATTTACACTTTCAGTTATACGAAAGTATCCAACGAATACAGAGCGAATATTAAGTGATTGTTTGTGGTGAAAGAACGTGTGAAAATGACTGAAAATTTTTAATGTAATGCATAAGAGTTTGGCGAGATCATATGGTAGATAGCAAAGAAGTGAAGTGCTAATTATTTTAAACTTTTTCAGTGAAAAGCGCCTGAAAACACACATGGCTAGAGACATTTGAAGAAGCAATATATCAAAAAGATATTTTATGAAAAAGTGAAAAACATTAATATAAAAAGTTATACGTGCTATGTAAGACAACAAAAAGAGCAAATAAATTTTTAATAAAAACAATATACAACAACAAAATAGCGACGAGTTCAAAGTTGGCAAAAAGAGAATTTTCATAATTTATTGCAACACCAAAAACACGCAAGGTGGAGTCTAAATGCATAGAACAAAAGAAACAAAAAAGATAACATATTAAATACTAAAAAAATAAATGAATTGGTTCAAACATTTTAATGACTTTTAATGCTGACGTGTACTGTGCAGAGGAAAATTTATATTAAGAAAAATTACTAAAAATATACAGTTGAAAAACTGGAGGCGTGAGAAACGGAAATCTAAAGCAGAAAAAAAAAATAATAATAAATAAAGAATTGTGAACTTAAATAGAAAAATTCAAAAGAAGAAAGATAATAAAAAACACAAAAAACATTTAAGAACTAAGCTGTAAATTAAAAAAAAAAAATTATAATAAAATAAATAACAAAAAGACAAATTACAAATTGAGAACTGAAAAAATCTTAACAAATTCTTGCATAGCCAAAGCTCAGTGGCAGAACTTGTGACGAAGACAACCGAAATAAGTTCGGCAGAACAAAACAGACACCAGTGCTCTCTCCCTCTCAACATTGCAAGCGCATAACTCAGCAATAAGAAGAAAAAATCACAAAAAATTGTACCTAAATACGTAATCTCATACGAAATTCGTCGGCGAGAACGGCGCGAAAAACTTCCAAATTCTTGCATCATTTTCTGACGCTGCGCGAAGAACGTCATCGTACTATTGCATATTTTCTCCAAGCTGCTGGAGCGTGCAATTAAGCAACGTATATATAAAAACCTATCATGACAAAAAAGGCAAAAAGCCAAAAAGAAAAGTGAGCTAGGCGGAGCGCCACATCGTCAAGGTGTAAAGAAGAGTGTGCGAACACGCTAAAATACTTTCCTGTATTACTGAAATTCTGTTCGCCAAGGCCCAGCATCAGCCAATGCGCGTCACACACTCTACGTATAGACATTACAAAAAAATTTCATTAATACATACATGATATATGTAAAAATACATATATATATATACACACATATATATATATATATATATTTAATTATTTGCCGAAAACTTTGCTGTGCTTGCGAACTTTGCCGAACTGATTCGAGTGGCACACCGCGCACCCGCTCCCATCATCTGTTTGCCGGTTCGGCCTTGTTCATCCGCTTCAAGTTGACAATTTTTCCCGGCATCCGCTGTCTGTTGGCAGCGTCAACCACGCTTTTCCTTTGCAGCTGTCTTCGTTTGTGCGCTTCGTGTGCTCGCACCAACATACACACACACATCAGATAGGAATTGGCAATCGTTTGCGCCTTCGGCAACCTTCAAAGCATCTGAATCGGCAACATCAACATCATCGGCATCATAGACGTCTGCAGGCGCCAATTTTTCGATTCACAGCGAGGTATAATCGGACGTGTGGCCACGATACGCGAACAGTCTACTGAAATCCGTTGTTGTCGTCGTTCGCTCGTAGTTGAAATTTGCGGCGAAATAATTTGTAAAATTCGTTATCCGTCCATGCCATGCGCGATAAAATCACACAACTATTTTGCTTGCAAAAGAACGCATGCAAAAATAATACAACAGATAATCGAGGTGTGTGTTCATTAACGGTTCTACTACTTACACGTTGACATATACATACATATATAAATAGATGCATACGTACTTGTATGTTTGCTTGTCCATCTACACATATGTGTGTACTGCCTCTATATATTTATGTGGTCATTTAGAAATACGTGTGCGTGTGTTTGTGCCGCCTACATAATTTTACAGATTTTTTGAAAATTTTATTTTTTATATTTCGGCTCAAAATAAATGGCTTGTAGTGGATATCCAAAAAGAAAATCACATATTTTCGACAGTGTTGGAAGCATTTAAAATAGAATTAGTGGACAATGCAATATTAATTGTTAGAAGTAAAAGTAAAATAATAAAGAAAACATGAGCAACTACAGAAAAAAATACAGAATTATGTTCAGAACAAACAACCAAAATAAATAAATACAAATTAAAATAAAAAATTAAAAAGGATAAGAAACATTAAATGACAAAAAAAAATCAATAATTATGCCAATCAATGAACATTTAGAAAAAAAAATCTTACATATAATATAATAAATTTGAAGAAAAAACGAAACTTCGGTTGCAAGGAAGCTATGATACCTTCACAAAAAAAGTTTCCTTACAAAACTTTGATTTTGTTCCGCCAATTTGAATGGCAGCTATATTCTATAATGGGCCAATCTGATTAATATGTTTGGAGCTTGAAGTATTGCTCTGAACAATAATCCATGCCAAATTTTGTGAAGATATATTTTCAAATAAAAATGTTTCCTATACAAGGACTTGATTTTGATCGATCAGTTTGTAAGGCACCTAAATGCAGATATCGGCGGTTCCGATAAATGAACAGCTCTTTACCGGAGAAGAGGACGTGTGTAAAATTTCAGATCGATCCGTCATTCCATCGAAAATTTACATTCCAATATTTTTTTCGTACAAAATATATTTTTCTGTATTCTTTGAGGCAAAATATTGGACAAATATTTTTTATTTCGACTCAATATGCCAAATTTTGGAGTTATGAATTTTCAATTTTGAATAAAGTACCTTTAAACATTTGCGTATACAAACAAAAGTAATTCTATATAAAAATAAATAACTAGCTGGCCTATTTTTTACGATTTTTTCTCAACTTTCCAATGAGAAAAATTTTGAAGTTTTTCGCCTTTTTTTATAATCAAAAAATAGGTTTTTATTAACAAATATTTTTTTTTTCAATTTCGAACTATTTGTATACAGTATTTTTAATGAGAAATGTACATACCATATATAGATATACATATTTACAGGGGCTTCGGCCATTCTTTCTGAGTGTTGCAACTTTCGTACAAAAATAAAAGAATATTTGAATAAATTATATAAAATGATAAAGCAAATTACGAAGAAAAGAAAAATTAATAAAATAACGAATAAAAATCGAAAATAAAAAATTAAAACTTTAAATATAATAAAATATTTGAAATAAATAAAACATCGAATAAAATGTTTAAAACAAATTAATATCAAACATTCTTAGATAAGGGTGACCCAGTAAAATAAATAAAAAAACTGAAACAAATAAAAAAACAAATAAAACAAAACAAGTAAGGACGTGCTAAGTTCGAGTGTAACCGAACATTTCATAACAACTTGCAAGCAAGAGCGGGGGATATACCTTCAGGTGTTGGCAAAACTTTATGTTAAGTGAAAAGGTTCAAATTTATTATTCGACGAAATAGTGAATGTATTACAATCAAATTTGGCATCATATTAATTTATTTTGAAAGTCATAGACTAACTTAGTATTATTATTATATTTTAGTTCTCGTCAGTACTAACAGTTATATGGTGGATAAAGCAAGCTTTCACCCGATTTTTATCCATTTTAGGCACACAGATAGTGATTTGTATAGTGGAAAGTGAAAAAATCAGATGGAAAACAAAGTTTTGTTATATGGGAAGTAGGCTGGTACGCTGTTACATGGGAATGTCAAAATAATTTTATCTACCAAATTTGGTTGAAATATGTGTAGTAGGTTCGGTGATATGGGATTTCACCTAAATGTGGACAGTGTCACGACGCATTTCGTTATTGATTTATCACACTTTTAGAAGTTTTTAACATAACCATTACTTGGGGATTGGGCGTGGTTATCATCCGATTTCACCTATTGTCCCTGTCGCAAGAGGTGTCGAAAAAGTATGTCCTTTGCAATTTGGGTGATATAGCTCTAATAGTTTAGGAGATATATGCATTAATCCCATTAGGAGGCGAAGTCACCCCCACTATTAAAAAATTAAACATACACAAGCAATTTTTCAAAACGCACATATGCTTCTCAATATTGCGATTCGTTGCACCAAATTCCGGATTTTGTCTATAATTTGCGGCTTAGTATAGGTTTTCGATTAATGGCATTTTGTGGGCATGTCGTGGTCCGATTTCGCCCATCTATGAACTCGTCCTCACTTTTTTGCAAACATACACGTGTACCAACTTTCATTACGATATTTTAATTTTAACTGAAGTTACAGCGTGCATAAACAGACGGACGGACAGTCACTTGGAATTTAACTTGATATAAATAACTGTTAGGTGAACAAAACCAATATACTCTGTAGCAACATGTTGCAAGAGTATAAAAATCTAAAAGAACTAAAGGGTATAATTAAATATCTCAAATACATTAATAAAACATAAATAAAATATATTTTAAATAATTTCGATTAATAAAATTTATAACAACTGAATTAAATCCAATATAAAAATTATAAAATGAAATTAAAATACTATAATGAAACTATTAAAAATAAAAAACAAAGTTATATTAAATTGAAAAAAACTTTGGTTTGTTGCTTTTCAGCACATATATATAAAAAATAAAAATAAAATTTTTTTTTATTAAAAATTAAAAAAATTATATATCAATAGTGTATTAAAACTAAATTTGTATTAAACGCTTTGCTAATTGTGCTACACTCTTTCTTTCTTTTCATTTCTGTGCTATCCTTAACATGGTCATTTATACAAAAATTGTGAACTATTGGCATATTGTGAACGCAATAATAATTTCATTAAACAAAATAAAAAAATAACAAAAATAATGAAACAGGACATAATGTGCCAATTAAAGTCACGAGCAACGGGACAACGAGTGCCAATGGGTCTTTTGGGGCAGAAGGGCCCGAAACAGAGACCGACTCATCAGGGACCGGGGGGATGCGGAAGTCGTTGGAGAGGAAGGGCTCAGCGCCGAACGACGCTGTTCACCTCCAGAGACGGGTGGGACTCTTCAGTGGGGTGGCTTTAATTGTCGGGACCATGATAGGTGAGTACAACTAATATATATTATACTTAAATCGTATGCAAATTTTGAAACAGTAGTACTAACCAAATTAGATAGATTAATATAGTTAGTTCTTTAAATCCATCTTCCTATCATCTTTCTTTTTAGTTATGAGAGTTAAAGGTTTATTAATAATCTATACATATTTTTTCAAAAATCAGATTATACAATTTTCCTCGTAAAATACGAAAATTTCCACACCCAGAAATTCCAAAGACAATAATTTTAATTTATACTATGAATATATTTTTTTTTGTGTATAAGTCAATATTAAGTTTCGAAATTTTTGGACTCAGTTGATAGCCTGGTTTTCCGATTATTTGTGTTACTTGACCTCAGTTTGAAGAAAACACGAATGGAACGAAACTGAACACGTTGTTTCGTTAATATTGTAGATTTATTTCTATGAAAACATTTATAGCAGCTGATGAGATGAAGAAGTAATAAACATTTTGAATTTTATGGATTTCAAATTTAAAATCGTCTGAAACACCAAATATAAATTTACCTGGTCAGAACTAGAAATGTCTCTCGGAAAGGAAAATAGAAATCACCAGAAATATACCGTTTCTAGAACGATTTTGATAATAGTTTTTTTTGTTCGAGCAGTGGTTTGGCTCCTAAACGCATTATATAAGATCTACTTAAAAGCAACTCCATTATTTTTGCACTAAATTGAAGATTTTGTTTAGCATAGTTAGAATTATCCGATTTAAGTGAAATATGCATCGTGTTGTTTGATAACATGTTAGCTATCGATGTGTATTGCCTGGCTTTGCCCTGATGGAACAGAAAGCCCCTCATATTCGCTAAAGCTGACCATTTGTGGGTGATCGCTTATTTCAAATGGTCAAATTGTTGACAGCACAAGTCTGATTAAAAGTTTGGGCATAGGGAAGTAGCTCATATTAAATGTATCCCTGCTAACCGTTTTCACTTGACGTTGTCATAAGTGACCCACTTGTCATCACCAGTAACCATCCGCTTCAGAAATAGATGGAGTTTTTTGCGATTCAGCAGATATTCACAGATACAAATTCGGTCTATGAGGGTTTTTGTATTCACTCGCGTGGCACCCATAACCTGCTTCTCTTTATATTCAGGCTTCTTTATGGTAAATGACAATAAGTTGAGCTTCTGGGCAATTGAAACTGCACTTATATGACTTGGCCGAACTTGACGATTCCATTACTTTTTCGATATTTTCAACAATTGGCCTTCCAGGTCGTGGTGCATCTTTGACATCATATAAATCTCTGCGAAATTTTTTTAGTACAAAATCCTGTTTTTCTAAAGCTGTATTCCGTAATCAAATTGCACTTATACAACGTGAGATAGAGAATACAAAAGCCATATAGAAAGCCATATAATATAATATATTTCTTTTTACAAAACCTAATCGTTTCTATTTTGAGCTGATTTGAGCATGACGCGGTTTTTAGCCGAAATCTGAAATGATGTAATCAATAGTATATATTTTACACCAATTTTGTATGCTAAGAAATCTTAGAAAAGTAGCATAAATTATTTATAACTTACAACATATAAAATGGCAGTAACTTTCATATTACTAATACAAACTACCACGGACCGGAAATTGCATGAAGAATATGAATTTGAAAATTAACACCCAATTTTAAGCTAGTTGCCTAAAAATGTTGTATTTTTATAATATACAGTCATTATTTAACACATTACGAGCGCATAAGCAATGGTATTTAGCGCGTAAATGTACAGTATTATTTATAGCAAAAACAATTTCTTATTTCTCAACGATTAAAATGTGATTAAAAGAGAATTTATTATGTTTATGTGTTTAAAGCGAATTTAGTAAATAACTTAACGCTAATAAAGCGCAAGAAATGCCAGTACAGTATATGCGTAGATATGTTCATATGTGTGGTATCTTATTGGCACGTAGGCAAAAATATTCAACCAAAGCTTTATAAATATATATACATTCAAGTGAAAATTAAAGCAATACAATATTTTTTGCCCACGAAATCAGCAAAATATATTGAATGAAAGAAATTTGAGTACAATTCATAAAAAAAGGAATGAAAATAATAAAAACAATAACAATAATATTATATTAATAATAGTAATGTAAAAATGAAATTAATTACTTTATTTGAAATTTAAGTTTACGTTTTGCTAGTTCTTTTTAGCCACTATGTTTGATAACAAGTCGACTTAAGGTAAATAAATAAGGATACAAGATATTTATTGAAATTTATCTTGATTTTGATCGGTCAGTTTGTATGGCAGCTATATCTTATCCGACACTTTTTAAAATTAAGCTAAAAATCCTGCTTTTCAGGGATATTTGTTTCTCTGTATATAGATTAATTTGAACCTATCAATTCAATATATATAAGTTTTCTTTGGCTCACCCTAAAATACATATATACATAAGCATACTGCATAGTTGACCCAGGCCGTTGTACTTTAAATTTGATTAAAAACCAATTAATTTACTCTGAATTCCCTTAAAACACAATGTGACCTGTCTATAATCCTCCTCGATTGACAATTCCAATACTGCAATGTGTATCTCACATACATATACAAATATATTTTAGCGCAAAGAATGTTTGAATTTCATTTTCGAGATGTTAAAAACTGTTGCGTGCAATTAGGACATGAAACGTCAAAGACATATATGTGTATATAAAAAGTATTTGAGAGAAAAAGAAAGAGAAAATAATAAAACAAACGCTAAATTGAAACATAGAAAAAATAAATGTTCCACACTCTCTTGCGTAGGTGTTTTGGCAAGCGACGCGAAGGCTCGAAAAAAATCGAAAAGCAAATGAAATGTACCACATGACTATCACTAATTAAGTTATTTATTCATACATTAAAAAAACTTAAAAAAATTAAATAAAGAAATCTAAGAATTTTCAATGCTAATATATACCTATAAGAAAAATGGGTGTGGCAACGAAATTTGCTATAACAAAATCTGAATATATTTATTAAAATATATATACTGTCACTTATTTAAATATATGCGTATATATTTTCTTTAGTGAATATCGTGAGGGTATAAACCTTGAAAAAGCCTAATAAATCTGTCATAGTAGCAATAGATTAATAAACAAGATCACAACGACTCAGGATATAGCTCTTTCCATTTACCCGCAATTCAAAATTGTTATTAAATATTAAAATACATTTAATCTTCATAAACCACTAGTGTAAATTTTACACACTTTTGACTGAAAATTTGTTGGAAAGATCGTCTACGAATAAACTCCCTGAGCAGGAGGCTGTGAAGAGGACATTGTATTTTTTATTAATTTTTATTATACTTTAAAGCTACTCAATATTTTTTACAAAAAATCTGGAAAAAATTTTAATTTATTTCCGTTACTTTGGGGGTTTATACCTTCTCTTCTACGGTTTTGTCGACAACAGCATTACTTCAAATAAAATTTTTTCAAGAATCGGAGCGTATGCATTTTTTAATAGTTTCTTTTAGATGCATTTTCGTGCTTATTTCTATTGCGTGGTCATCAAATACAGATTTAACTCAGTAATGGGGTATCCTGCTTACCCGATAGCTTAAAATACCGTTTTTATAGGATTTCTCGAATTTGAGAATAGAACTAAGAAAGATTTAGTTAAAAAAAATATTTGATAAAATATTTTACATCGGTTAAAAATTTATGTGAGGAATCTAAAAATAAAGATTCTGTAGTCTATAATTTAAAATCTCAATAATTAAACAAAACTGGTTAAACTCACACACTTTTTATGAAATTTGTATTTTTTGAGGTTAAACAACTATTGCATGCTTAAACATAGATTTATGAATGAATTATTAACGAAAAGTTAATGAGAAATTTGACACTTGTGGAAATTATAAAATAAAAAATAGATTTAAAATCATCCAAAAATATGAATGAATAGGTAGGTAAATGTTTAGCGATATTTCGTTTTGTTGTAAATACAAGCATGTGTATGTATGTATAAAAAAATATCGATTATTATTTTTTTCATTTTGTACTCTGAAATCGGTTGGTAGACACCTCAAAAAAATTCTCTCCCTCTAGTAGTAATTATTGGAAAGGAAAATTCATATCGCAGTATCTACTATTTGTAATGTTGAAGTTTAATTATTTTAAGGCATATTTATGTTTTTTTATTCAATCATTTTTATTTTTTTTTATGAATTTTATAACACACTAACAAAAAATTATTATGATACCTTTAATAATTTTTGAACAGTGTAGTTTACGAAAAAATTGTAAGACTCCATTTTTGTAGAGTAATCAGTTTTATAAAAATATAAAGACGATTTATATATTTTGGTTATAAATATATATTTTTTTCAAATAATACTAGTTTACAGTCATTTTGCGACTGTGATGGAGGCTGTTTCTTGCTAATTTTGGATTGCTAAAACCGAAAATGATAGTAAAATTTCCTAACAGGTAGGATTTTTTGTTTCGTAGTCAAGGGGTGTAAAGATCTAACTGCCTAGCACCATTTACTAAAATGACAAAAATAGCCGTACGTCATGGAAAATTTTTGAACTTAAATTCGTAATCAGCACACCTCAATACACCCACAGACCTCTTAGCACATTAGTCGCAAATTGTTTCTTCAGATTTGTTGAGTAGTGTAATACATAGATACTGAGATATGAATTCTTCTTTCCAAATAATAAGGATTCCTCCTAATACTAAGGGCTCTTACTTAAAGAGAATATTACGAGTTGTCTACAAACCAATTTTACAGAGAGTAAAGTAAAAAAAAAGATAAGTGATTTTTTAACACTTTCTGATATATACGCGTATGTATGTATAAACTTATTCCTATATACCTATATATATTCTTGCGTTCGTGCATTTTGCCATGCCAAAAGTGGCTTCTGAAATCACTTTCACTTTGAACTCCAAAATTTCTAAAACAATTTAACTGTACATACTATTAATAGTGAGCATCGCAATGACCCTGTGCTGAAACGTTGTCACCATTGAAATATCTAATACACGCACACAGATAGATACACTTACACAATATATATGACTTTTGTTATTTTCGCTTATTTTCTGTATTTATATATAATATAATTTGAACTTTTTGTTTTATATTTACCGAAGTTTATGGTTATAGGTGTCCACAATGTCATCGTAAAAATATAAGAAAAACAAAAATGTTTCTATTGTGCGGCGCCAGAACATCGACCAGCCTTGTGTGGAGGTCAGGGTTTGATGAATTAGAAGTAATATTTGTGAATAGTTTGTATTTGTATTTCGTGGATATTCAACTCAATTTATAATGTGTTTTATAGATTAGATAAACTTGTCTTTAAAAGTTGGTTTAAATGGTTTCCATATCCAGTTAAGAAAGTTAGGTTAGTTCTAGCATGCCAGTTTTAAAACCGAGTGAGGAAAGTTAGGTTAGGTATGCTGTATCCCTTAAGATGATCGGATATTATAAAGAGTAGAGTATTGTGTAACAGTATACATCATAAATTATTTTCTTATTTAACTTCAAACAATTTAAAATTAAATATGTCATACGCGGTCTTAATTTAACTAATAAAAATTATATTATGTAAGCTTTTGGGGTCCGTCAAAGCAACCCAACTTTAAGCTTGAGAAATGCGCAGTTTTGAAAAGAGCACGCTTACAACCACTAACCATGGTTATGATTATGAAAAATAAAAATCACACCCTACTTACCATATACCTGACGTCCGTTTATAATTTGTATGACCCATAAAAGCATCGCGTGACAAGTTGTAACGTTCTACTTGTAGTAGCGTCAAAGGAACAATAACGTTACATAATACATACAAATAAAAATGCATTATATGCGTATTTCACTATACATACATACATACATGGTAACATATCCACAGTTGGTACATAAAAAATTTAGTATGCATAAGCCTTGCTTGCCCGTCAAATACATACCCACAGTAAATATACACACACAGGGCCTTTGAATGTCATGGCGTCTATTGCAGTTTAAGGTCGAAGGTCAAATATAACCGAGTACATACAATTTTGTTGGAATATTGCAATGCAGTTGCTCAAGGACATTCGCAATTTGTGCGGCATATATGCTGAAAGTAGTCAAAAAAAAAAATTGGGAAACTACACAAAACTTAGTTAAAGTGAAATAAAAAGTTTGGTAGATTTTTAAAATTAGTTATGTAAGTACATAGCACATATTTTAGGCAAAGGATGGATCATTTAAGTTTGGATGTACATATAGTTAATATACAAATGCAATCTATCTATAAAAAAGCAGGTATATACTTATGTACCATATATCCTTATGTAATATATGGTCAGAGGAATACTTTTCTTACGCAATACTGTGCTTGCTCAATAAATTGTTCTCACTGCGTGGCGTCAGTGTAATTGAATTGCAAATAAAAATTGATATAACGGCTTAAATACAAATTTGTTTACCGTTGGCTAGTTAAAGTATGAATCAGTCATTCGTAAATATTTATATACGAAATTATAATAATTTATTCTGCTTAATTAGAACTTATCTACTTGTATAAGCAATAAAGACTATACTTAAGGGTTTTAAAATTAATTAAAAATTATACATTACTATAAATAAAAATAAGAAAAAGAACAATTAGCTCGATTTATGAAAATCCTTAAGTGTTCATTATTGTTAAACTAATAAATGCGATAGATAATGATGTTCTACACTGAACAGGCTATATTAAGGTTGCCACGAAGTTTGTAACAGTCAGAAAAAGACGTCAGGGATACGCTATAGTATATATAAATGATCAGCGTGACGAGCTGAGTCGATTTAGTCGTCGGTTGTCCGTCTATATATTGTATATGCGAACTAGTCCCTCAGTTTTTGACTTATTAATTCAAAATTTTGCAAACGTCGTTTTCTCTCCAAGAAACTGCCCATTTGTCGGTTCACTATAGTATATATCTGCTATACAAACTGATCGTTGGAACTCAATTCCTTGTATAAAATTGCAAACTTCAACCATATTGCTCAGATCGGACTACTGTAGCATATAGCTCCCATAGAAAATGACCCATCAAAATCAAGATAAATATCTTCATAAGAGATTCGTTTTTCTGATTAAGTAATCTGAATTCGACTTGAAGGTTGTTTATACCAAAATACCATTTCCATGCATTAATTTGCAAAAGTCAAAGTCAAAAAGTGATTCAAAGAAAAAAAGATATGGTGAACAGGTGTAGGCGACAGCGAAATTGCCCTAAAAGCGCGAAAATTGCTGACGCAAATTGAACTTATCATATGTAGTTATAAGTTCACCATGACCAACGTCCAAGACGATTTTCGCAAATGACTGCAAATATGCCACCATATTATTTTGACACATATATATTATTTTACAAATATTTTGCGAAGTTTGTTGGAAGCATATTCTTGCCAGTATAGATTTTTTAGATATAATTTGTGATAAAAGTAATCACTTAGGTAGAAGTAGGGAAAATTAAAAAAAAAATTGCTTTAAAATGTATGATTGGTCTCAAGTACGAGTTTTAGCCAGAGGAAGTATTTTTTAAAGAAAAATTATATTTTTTCGCTTAAGAGAATTTATAATAACGTTTTTGCTATTGTGTTTTAGGGCGTCGCATGAGGAAACTATACATATTAACTACTAAAAATGAATTTATTTAATTTATACATACAATATATTACCTTTTAAAATAAAACTTCTCGTATTTTTTACATTTTTTGTATTGTTGTTAGTTTATGTGTTACTCCAACACCATTTATATATTTTATAGATATTAACTTAATTTTTCTTAATAAATATTTTTAACATTCTCCTTTTACGCTTAATTTTCAGGGTCTGGAATATTTGTGTCACCTTCAGGTCTACTAGTTCGTACTGGTTCCGTTGGTGTTAGCTTTATTATATGGCTGGCCTGTGGTTTGCTCTCCTTGTTGGGTAAGTAAAGCCAGTAATCGATTAGGAATTAAAAATTTACCCTAATACGCTATTGAGTACGATTTTGTGACTATGAATAATTTGTGATGAATCGAACAAGCAACTCGCATTTCAAATAGAGCCAGCATAGTAAGTCGCTATACCACTTTAATGAGGTACCCAAATACTCTTTTTGTATTGAATATTATTATTAATGTTGTTTCTACTTGAAATTGTTTGACAATTAGGAAAAAGTCAAATATATATCACATTTACTCAACGCATGATATATTTTTGCTTAAGAATATATTCATTCTACTTAAAGTAAACAACAAAAACTCAGAATAGAAGTTCACTAGTTAGCTACGAGAATATTAGGGAAGTAATACATTTTTATTAAAGTAGCATGGAATTGTAATAGATATATGTTGAAAATACATTTTTAACATGCTCAATACTATATCATATAACTTCACTATACTTCGAATATATGGAATAATTATATTAATTTAAAACTTAAATACGCAATATGCCTTAAGAGTTTTAGAAGTAAATGTAATATTTTTTGTATCTACCCAAGGTTAATTTTTCATTTTCATTGAAGTTACACATACGCCCTGGTGTCAAGCGTTGAGCAAATTACAAAATGACCATACTTACCGTGCTTAATACTAGCGATGGTTTTTAATTTGAAAAAGGCAGTGTTTACAGCATCTGTTCAAATAAGGACTGATATTAAATAATTAATACTGAAAAATTACCTAGCACCACCGAAGCTATGAAATGGCCTCATTAAACTGAACAAAACCAAAAAAACAACAAAAAAATATAGTACTCCAAAGTTGTTCTAAATCTATCGGGGTTAAAGAAGTTAATTAAATAATTTTTCTTTTGTTCTTGCAAAAATTATATATTTACTATAGACTACAAATATTTCAAATTTATTATTTATATTTATATTTATAAATTTTCACAGCATATAATTTCTATTGATTTTTATTAGCGCCAAGCTAGACTGAAGTAATTGACATTTCCACCCACAAGCAAATTCATCAAAATTGCTAAATGAAATACGCCAGAAATCATCACAACCTTATGTCAAGTATTGGGCGTTTAGGAGTTTATAACATTGTATGGAATTTGCAAATGTGCGAGCGCAAATATACATGCATACATACCTATGTACGAGTACATTATTCTGTTTTGTCAACAAGTGTTTAGGTAGTTCTTTTGTTTCTAATTGCATTGTAATAATTTTCCCAATTATTTTACGTCGCATTTGAAACAGCCGCGTTGCACATGATTAACGGTCGTGCAACTCTCAAAAATCTACACAAATACATATGTAAATACGAGTACATACAGGTATGTGTGTACATATGTATAACGGTGTAAATGCACCTGTAAACCTGTGGATGCCACTAGCTATCGCATTTTGTTTGGCAAATTGTCAATAATTTCACACTTGGCCGGGCTCTGGCGTCGCTTAGAAACAACATGCACATTTGCTTACATACTCATAAGCCCATATATGTGCATGTGTGTGTTTGCACGTAAATCTACATGTGTTTTGTTGCATTCGTTTGTGGCGCCCATTTGTCATTTGTGCAGCGCTTGCAAAGTAATGTGTTGAGAAATTAATTAAATAAAATGTGCTTCATAAAATGTATTTATATAGAGTATATATATAAAATAATATATAGTATTGAAATGTGTATACGTGCATTTTAGCAGAAGCATTTATTTAGCGATTAATATTATGTGTATATATATACATATTTGACAAGTTTGCCAAAGAGATTATGGTGCGATGTTTGTATATCTTGATGTGATTCTTCAATATAGGTCACTTTGGTAGAGTTAATTTTTTAATATTAAAAAAGAATTTTAGAAATTTTGAGAAAAGGATTGATGGTTTTAAATTTTTTTGCTTGAATATAATGTCACGAAAAAGGTGCGAAAACTGAAGAAAGGTAACTGAACGCATTTTTCCATAGGAGCAAAAAAAACTATTTATTTATCTAGGGTTGATCTTTGTTGTAAAAAAATTTTATAAATTTAAAATTGCGTCTTTCTCTTCGAATAAAGAAAGCGGACACAATATGAATAGTGAGAGCTGAATAGAGAGGAGCTAATTTTCAGAAAACCGGATGTACATAAATGAAAGAAATATGTTGTAGTTGTTGTAGTAGTCGTTACTTTTTCACATAATTTTTACGAATGCCGAGAAAGCAGTCTTTAATCGGATATCCGGATCTGTACATTTACTAAGCTCAACTGCAGTGAAAATGGAAGACTGTTTTATGCAGTTACAATAAAGTATTTAAAGAAGGCTCCCATTTTTGAAGTGACAACAACTATTTAGTTTAATTTCTACTATTTCAAAACCCGTGGTTAATTAGCCGCATTTGCTCTAGGTAAAGATCTTTAGAACACTTCATATATATACATTTGCCTTCGCAGAAACCCATTGCCTTCAGATGTCCTTAAGAGTCTTTTCAATACAGATTTAAAATATGAAAAGCAGAAAATCTCGGATGCAAAAACTGTCTTACATCAATTTCGAATAGAATCTTTCAGTGTTATTTTGAATGATAATTGCCAAAAGCTATGCAAGACTTTGATATGTCAAACTGCGATCTTTGATTTGTTATTAAAAGCTGTCCGGTCTAATTAAATCTACCTCAGATCTTCGCCTATTTTTTAACAAACTTTCTCGAGCCGTGGAGTATTTAGTATTTTATATTAAGAGGAATTTATAATGTTAATTTTGCAGCCACCGTGCTTTGAAATCCCGTACGTGTAAATTGGTTGGACGCTGACTTAACGAAATTTCTCAAAACTTCTGAATCTTTTACAAAATCGGCGTCAAGTAAAAGTCGCAAAAGAGATGCTTCACAACATATCTTACATTCATCAAACCCATCATTACTGGTGACAAGTTGTGAGTTTATGATTATGACGTCGGAACCGATCAACAAACTACGTTAAAGTCGGTAAAAAAAATTAAGATGATGCTCATCGTTTTTATTGATTACCTTGGAGTGGTTTATTATGAATTTATTTCACGGGGTCAAACATAATAAATGCAATATTTTTATTAGAAAAGAACTGTCCATAAGAGCACACCACTCTCTCACTAGGACGTCGCTCATATTTGCAACCTTAAACCACAATCTGGCAACCCTTATCTGACTCTAAAGTGATAAATACATTTTCAAAGTTCCTCATATTACTGTTTATTTAATCCAAAGAAAGAATAACTTAAATTCACTTTTAAAAATTTGTCTCGCATTATTGAACATTAACAATACGCATGATGTACACTAAACGTGAACACAGGAACTTCCAATTAACTCAGAGACTCATAAGCACCCCAATGGTCGTAAACTCAAAACCTTACCTCGAGTTTGTTCATTAAGATATCATGAACTTTTAATACCCTGAACAGGGTATATTAAGTTTGCCACAAAGTTTGTAAGACTAGGAGGAAACGTCGGAGATCCTTTAAAATATATATATAAATGATCAGCATGATGAGCTGAGTTGATTTAGCCGTCTATCTGTCTGTCCGTCTGTCTGTATATATAAAAACTAGTCACTCAGTTTTTAAGCTATCGATCTGAAATTTTGCACATATCCTTTCTTCACTAAGAAGCTGCTCACTTGTCGGAACGGACCACTATAGCATATAGCTGCCATACAAACTGAACAATCGGAATCAAGTGCTTGTAAGGAGTCTTTGTATTTGTGAAGGGTGTTATAGTGTATTGTAAAGTGTAAATATATTTAAAAAAATAACAGATGTATATTATTCTCAGTTTGTCGCCACATCTGTGGGGTTACCAATGTTATGTATTCCTGGCAAGGCAAGTTGTTTCCGATCATTCGATACCCAGTTTTGCGCGAATTTTGTCTGAGTAAATAGTTGCTAATTATGCATACGTCCCACTTGTAGATAGACTGCTTTTCTTTTCTTTATAGTCTTTAATAATTTTCTGTTTAGACTCTATCTATTCATAGAATTTTGGTAATCCTACTCTAGCTTGTTGATATCTGCTATATTCAGAGTCAAGGTCGCTTACGCCAAGTAAACAAATGTTAAGATTCATTTCAAAGATCGTATTGGCTAGTTTTCCGTACTTGTACTAAGGATGCTTACACTAACCGAGTACTAACTAGAAGCGATTAGGGTAGTAAAAAAGAGTCTTGCTATAAGGTTCGTGCTCACATTTTTTCAGATTTTATGGTTAAAAACTTTCTGTTAATTGCCAATTATATGCTTACAATTAATGCGTTCAAATTATTTCCGAAAACTGAATATGGTAGCAGGAATCAAGCAGATAAAGCGTGTTATTTGTAAGCAAATCTGGCTATAATCTTCTCATACTGTAAACAATCCACTGCGTAAGCACTTCGGTAGTCGATATGATCACAGAAATATTCTTTACGTAAGCAGCAGTCATTTGTCGTTAAACCACGATTAAACTGTTGCAATATCGATATGGAGTTTGCACAACTAACCATTCTTCCTAAGCGATATTTCCTAAAATTATTAGGTGGATAAAATAAAAATAAAATTTCTCTCGATTGAACTTGTTCTATATCCTTTTTCTATACTGATAATATAGCCGCCTAAACGATTTTAAGTAATAGTTCATACATAGTTCCTTCGTTTCCCAATTCAAAATACCACCACCAAACCTTTACATGTGGTCCTTATACTGCTGATGAACTCAATCTTTCTTTTCACTCACCAGATGGTACCACAATGAACCCTTTCATTACTGGAAACTTTGCACCCATTCAAAGAACATTAAACAACTTCAAAATTATAAATATCAAGAGCGACTAGCGAAAAGCGAACTCAAGTTTTATATGAGGTCTGAAGATATTTTTGTGTACCGCCGGACCCAATCGTCTTGGTTCTTTTTTTAATTTAGACAAAGCGGAACTGAACCCAAAATACCCAAAAGTTGTACGTTCTCATAAGAGTTCTCCAGAAGAGTTTTTCCATCTTCTCACTGAGTAGATAGGTTGCAGAATAACATTTAACATAGTCAGATACGTTTGGCTGGAATATCCAATAGGATCATAGCTATATAAATATTTTTACTGTTGGCTCTCGTACTGAGATTAAACCAGGATTAAGGATAAAGCAGGTGTTGATAAAACTAACACCACAGATGTTGTTATTGAAATTTCACAATAAAACTTCCAAACAACCCAAGCAGGATTAGATTACCAAAAATAAAAATGGCTTGGGCTGAATAAAAAGCGAGTCAAAGTAGAACAAAAAATTGCCCTAATTTTCGACAGGTAGGGTTTTTAAAAATGCTACGCCGGTGATCGCCTTATTTTATAACTATACTCCCGCTTCATTTGCTAATAGAAAAAGTCTAACTAATGCCCGCACGTAGTATTTTTAGGAAACATTTTTTATAGAACTCGTTATGATGTATTTTATTTTTATACAAGTAATAGAGAAAATAATATAAGTAAATGTATAAAGATATTAGGAAATAAATTTGCATTGCAATACAAAGTTGAGAACTGCAAAAAAGGCGATCGCGTTGACCTCCACAGTATCTTATCAATTAACCCCTCGACGAAAATTGAGAGAATTTTTTCTTAACTTTTCAAATCGCTTCTTAAGGATAGAAAGTGATCATTGAAGTGGTTTTTATAGTTTTCACCATAGATTCTTGTTTGTTGATTCATTTTTTTGCGTTTGCGTTTTTGTTGTATATGCGTATGCGTATGCGTTTTTATGTTTTGCTTATTCAAAGTATACATTTGCCACAATTGAGGGATATGACCAACCTTTTCAACTGGGAGGATCTGAACCGCCAATAATATTAATATTGGATATGCTATTTATATGAGCAAGACACGAAAAAGCTTCTGTGAATTACAAGCAAAAACTGGCATCAATGAAAAATATCTGTATGTATGCATTTAATGCATTGCGCCCCAACTGCACTGCGTCATACTCAATGGGCAAGCGAGTGTAGAAACACAAGCAAAACAACACCCAACAAATAATAATGTGCAAAAGTAGAAACACAAATGATGAGTAATATTTGTCGATGTACAATATAATAAGTACTACTAAGCAACAACAATAATAACAATAGCAATCAGCTGGCAGCGAGCGGCTGTACGCACAATAAAAATACAGTGAGCTAAACAGAGGAACATACTTGTAATACATACATACATTGCGAGTGAGATTTTGGTGGTGAAGAAACCGGTTCTCCATAAGATCGTCGGCACGAAATGTTGCGGTGGAGGCATCGGTAGACAAAGCTTTAAGCATGTATTGTACATACGGTGTGGCAAGTTAGATTAGAAGAAGCAACTGCTAACTCATACTGAACTACATACCCTGCAGTGAAATCAACTAGGCATAAGTTTTTTCAGAACCAGTTATAAACTACTTCAAAACTAGTATCAACCACAAGCCCAAATTGTGCACCCGCTATCCCTCCTATCAACTGATATTTTTTACATAATCATGCCTTACGAAATGTCGATGCACAGATTGGTGAAATATATATCAGTTTCGTACCAGTCTAAAACAAGTATATAACTTTTATTTCCGTTTATATTTTCAAAAAAAATTTATTATGGAAGTTGTTGAAGTTCCCGAGTTTTATGGAAAATATACTGTCGACCACAGTAACATGTGAACTGCCAACATAAAAAGGTGGTAGTTTAATGTAACAAAATTTGTAAATGAGAATGTTGAAAAAATACATACTCATACATATTCAGTTTGGGAAAGGCTAGTCGCATGGCAGGCAAAATCTTAAATTGTCTGTGGACAATTTTACTAGGATTTAAGATGTGAAATATGAAGTGAAATTTTATGGAAATTTCTCATCATAATCATGTTATTTTCGTGAACTTCCATTTTTATACCCTGAGCAGGGTATATGTATTTATTTGCCACGAAGTTAGTAACACCCAGAAGGAAATGTCGGAGACCCTCTAAAGTGTATATATAAATGGTCAGCGTCTGTCTGTCTCCTCAAGTAGATTTTCATTAAGTTAAATTATTTTCTTGTCTTTTCTGAAATGAAGCTCACTTTAACATACATTTTATTAAGTTTAGAGATATTTTCCTGGAGGAATGGATGTTTTTATATTATTTTAAAATTATTTATATATATATTAATTTTTTAATATAATTAACTTTTCAACGATTAATTTTATCTAAATATCTTCTCGGCATTACAATAAATCAACATTTGGCCTAATCTATTTTCAGGCGCTCTGGCATATGCTGAGTTGGGTACGATGAACACATCGTCTGGCGCTGAGTGGGCATATTTTATGGACGCATTTGGTCCGGCTCCCGCATTTTTGTTCTCATGGGTATCGACATTGGTCCTGAAGCCATCGCAAATGGCTATAATTTGTCTCTCCTTTGCGCAGTATGCAGTTGAGGCATTCGTCACCGAATGCGATCCACCAACATCGGTGGTTAAAATGGTTGCACTGCTGGCAATTGGTAAGCTCAACAACAAACTATAGATGCTATGCACATACATATTTATGCTTTTTCGTTTGCTTAGTTGTGTTTTTATCCTCAAAATCCTTGAAATGCTAAAATAAAAACTAAAATAATAAAATTCAAAGGAACAAATAGTAACCCCAAAACACAACAAACAACAAGAAAAAAAGTCAAAAGCAAATCATGCAAACGTTCACCCACACACATACATATTATACATACGCACATACGAAGTTTTCTTTAAACTAGTTTTTTTTATTAATTTTTTGACAAAATTGTTCTCTATATTTCTCCTCAATACTATTCCGGCTATTGTATACTTTTTGTAACCACTCATCCGTCCTATCAAATAAAAAAAATTTTATATATGTAAAAAAAATCAAAAAACAACCATCAAAACTTCCTACGTCCCACTACGATGCCTCCGCCTCTCCGACTCTGCCTACTACGCCTTCTACGTCCAACTCGCCCCCCTCTATAGTTATGATACTGTTCGTGAATTGTTATAGTGTGAATCTGGGCATGGCTGTGCAGAACATATTCACCGCTGCCAAATTGGTTGCCGTCCTCATAGTGATTTGCGGCGGCGCCTGGAAATTATTCCAAGGCAATACACAACACCTGTCGAATGCATTTAGTGGCGACACACCCACCTTGGGCGCTGTAGCGACCGCTTTTTACACCGGCCTCTGGGCCTACGATGGCTGGAATAATTTGAACTATGTCACCGAAGAAATCAAGAATCCAAGCAAGAATTTGCCACGTTCCATCATAATTGGCATACCATTGGTGACACTGTGCTACGCGCTCATCAATATATCATATTTAGCGGCGATGTCACCCACCGAAATGATTGACTCAGAAGCCGTCGCCGTGACCTTCGGCAATCGCATACTGGGAGCTATGGCTTGGCTAATGCCGCTAAGTGTGACAGTGAGCACTTTTGGTAGCGCCAACGGTACACTCTTCGCGGCTGGACGGTAAGTTGGCAACTAAGAATTAAGCAATGCTTTTTTTCCTTGAAACTATTAATTTTTTTCATTCCAGTTTGTGCTTTGCCGCGAGCCGTGAGGGTCATCTAATGGATATACTGTCGTACGTGCATGTACGTCGTCTAACACCAGCACCAGGATTGATTTTCCATGTGAGTATTTATTCAATTTAAGCTAGTTCTGCGACCATGCAATTTAATAAGGACGAGAGCACTTTAATATTTTGATATAGTAAAAAAAGAATTGGGGCCTTTAAAGAAAGTAGTCTACTAGTTTGCATTTGAGGTGCGGGTCCAACACTGTTGTTGTTATTATTAAAACGGTATAAGACAAACAGTTTTGGAGATAAGACCGAGCTGACAATTTTTGGTTTGGACCTTTTCGGTTACGTAGACTAACAGTCGAGTCGCAATGCTCAATGCTAGTTGTCAACGTCCAGGGAACGTCATGATTCGACAAGGTTCGACCAGAAGACGTGGATCGTAGTAGGTGGAAGTATAGAAGAGGACAGGGCTCATTTATTAAAGTCTGTTTGCACCAAGTGGAGTGATAACAGTTTCACCTACAGAACGCAATTAAGTAAGCTTTACGCTAATTCTGGGAACATCATTCATGGGAAAGAACTCCTGAAAGTGTGGATTATGTCTTTGAAAATGACGTACTTTGTTTATAGGGTGTCGTTACTACATCTAATTTTAAAATTTTATTTATGGGTCTTTGGGAGGTAGTTTTGCTTGATGTGTGTGAGTGTCTAAACAAGAGCTTTTACACGACGGTATCCCAATATATATGGCATGGAGAGAAGTATGGAGCATGGATAGCAATATTCATTAAGGGTCTTCAGATCGATGATATCGCTAAAGGGAAATTGGGCTCGAAAGCCATCGTGATACCACTAGACACAAAACAGAGTACTAAGCCCGATCTAAATAGTCTTAGATCCTCGAAATAACAGCCCTGTGTTGGTTAAAATCCGGATAAATTTCGGTAACGTAGAACTGGCTGTTGTGGGAATTAAAGGCATGAAACATTAACTTAATACACGTCTAAGCTTTATGCAAAAACTTCCTGTAGAAAGTTTGAAACGAAGCGGAGATAAAAGCACTTTCTCTTCAATTCGTCCGATTGGGCTCCTGGTCACTAATAAAAATTTTTAACATTCATACTAGAACTCAAGAACTAGCAACTAAGTTCTATATATAATAATACTATTTTCAATTTCAGTCGCTCATCGCTACCGCCATGGTCTTGTACGGCACCATCGGTTCATTGATTGACTTCTTCAGCTTCACCGCTTGGATTTTCTATGGCGGTGCTATGTTGGCGCTGATTGTTATGCGTTTCACCAAACCCAACTATCCAAGGCCATACAAAGTGCCTATCATCATTCCTGTTGTGGTGCTGGTGATCTCAATATATCTAGTGGTGGCGCCGATCATCGATACACCGCGCATCGAATACTTATATGCGTTACTTTTCATCTTGGGCGGCTTGATATTCTATGTGCCGTTCGTCAAACTAGGCATGACACCAAGATTTATGAGTAAGTCCATGAATGTACATATATTAACAAATATAATATTTAATGTTATATTTTCTTTTTCGCTTTTGCTCAGACAAAGTGACACTTTTCTTCCAGCTGCTGTTGGAAGTGGTGCCAACTTCATCGATGTTCGAATAAGCAATTAAAAAACCAATTTCATTAATACCGGCTGAGACAAAAAAATATTGAAAAATGTGTTACAAGAGTAACAAGAGTAACAAACAAAAAAATATAACAAAATTTTAATCATTCAATGCAAAGTAAAGGAGAGACTATCTATTCAGGATCTGAGAGAATAATGTACGTACGAAATAGGTTAACTGTCTAAACTACATAATATAGCAGAGCAGTAAACACAAATATTCAACTATGAAACGTGTTGCAGTTAAATAATAGATTTACAAAAAAAAAATTTATATAAAAAAAAAAATTAAAAAAAAAAAAAAAAAATTAAGAAAATATATGCATTATATAAAGTTTCTGCTAAAGACCTACATATATACAATATTATATATTTTTTTAGTTGTAAGCTTATTAGAATCATCAGATTGTTGTCAAAACTTAGTAAAACGTTTACAAAACAATGTTATTGTTTCTAAAACATTACATTAAATGTGAAAAATGTAGCTTGAATTGCTATAAAAAAAGTTTATTTAACTAGATGCGATGATATAGTTAGGATTTAGTAAATGTATATTTAGGTACATAATACAAAATAAGTATGTGTGCTCATGATATATGCTATATTTGTGGTATATTATGATATATAGTGTTTAGAAATTTATGTAAATTGTAACTTTTATGAGCTGATGTTTGAGAAATGGTGGAACAGTGAGCGGCTGACGACAGCAGAATATTGAATTTTTGATAAAATAATGAAGAAGCCAAGAGCAAAAACGAGTTAAGCAGCTGACTCAGCTAAACAGCTGTTATTTGAGTGAGGTTATGGCGTTTTCTAGTTAATTTAATGAGGCATTTTTATAACAACAACCATAAAAATAAGTGAAGAAAACTTAATTGTTGATATATTGTATCAAGCTGGTTCAAAAAACAGTTTATAGAGAAACAGACAGTTGAAAAACTGTTATTTGAGTGAAGTTGTGGCGTTTTCTAGTAAATTGATAGGGGTATAATTATCGTTATAACAATAACTTTAATTAAACATGCTTACTTGCTGATAAATAGGCCTTCCAGGTGTTCAAAAAAAATTTTTTCCAACTACCCACTCTTTTAGATTTCAAATTTGATTCACAAGTTGGTGTAAATAAAATAATGCTCAAGACAAAATACTTACATTTCTGCAATCCAAAAGCTGCATATCAATGTAAAACACTAGCAAAACACATTCAAATCAAAAATATTCTAAAATTGTATACAATATTATCCTCATTCAGCATCAGCATTATGCTGCTCATTGGCCTTCATCTGTCATCGTCAGCTAAATTTCATTGAACAAATCAGAATTTTAACGCATAGCAATATTTTAATTCGTAAAAGTTTATGGAAAAGGAAAAAGAAAACGCAAAAAATCAATAAGTTAGACTATACGAGTATTCGCTCTATATATGTATATTTTAGAATCGTTTTAAAATCCTAACCGGAAAAAATTGTGAAAACCATGGGACTGCTGTAGGCATTAAATTTATTAAATATTTATAATTTACTAAAAGGACAATGGAATTTAGAGTTATAGAACTGCAAAGCTACTTATATAGAAATTGTTATTTGACATACCCTACAATAAAAAATAAAACAAAATAAAACAGCTTCAAACACAGCAAAAGCGGTAAGCTATGAACTTATTAGTTCAAAATTGTTGTAATTAGCAACTAAAACTATTGCACACAACTGAAAAGTCCAAAAGCTTTCGAACTTGCTGTGTACAAAGCTAAAAAAAAATATAAAAAAACATTGCTACAATTTAAGGAGCAAAGTAAAACAAAAATAAAAATAGAAAAATAATCCCAGAAAATCACACAAAAATTATTGCACACCGCTTACTACCTAGATACCATTTGATATTTGGTTAGAAGTGTTTGAAGCAAATAAAAATAAATTTATATTATCATTCTCAATTTCGTATAATTATTTTTAAATTAAGTTAAAAAGACAAAGTACTATAAATATAATAAGCCACTGCTTATACACATGTATTTATGTATATGTGTCATTTACACTTTATGGTAAACAACCGCTATAAAGAGCAAAAATGTATGGAAAACAGTAATATGTATGTACCATCAAAATAATATCACATAATAAGCACCATGTATACATGTTTTCTCTAACTCAACAATATTTTCGAGCATTTCGGCATTTAATATGAGAAACTTTTGCGCCACTTATTATACACATATGTACATACATATACTATATATGATTATAACAACAATCAAACAACATATATGCATATACACACAGATTTCCAAGAACAGCGTTTTAAATTAACAAATTATTAACTATAAATCTATACATAGATACATACTTACATGAATTCATATATGTAAGTGCACATGTATTTTGGAAACTGTTTTTCTACACTTTTTGTCTTACGATTATACTTTTTATATAGTATTTCGTTATACGAATATATGATTAATCCTTTTGAGAAATTTATTTTTAATTTACTACAACCTCGAAGATACGGTTACAACAAAAAAAAATGAAAAAGCTATTATAAACTTGTATTGAGAATTTATCAATAAATCATCAACTACAAAAAAAAACATGTGTGGCTTTTATTTATTATTTTTATACACTGAACAAGGAATATTAAGTGTGCCACGAAATTTGTAACACCCAGAAAGCAACGTTGGTGAACCTATGGAGTACATATATACATATATTTGTCTGTCTGTATATACGTACCATATGTACCATACAAACTGGACGATCAAATTCAAGTTTTTGTATGGAAAACATTTTTATTTGAGAAGATATCTTTACGAGATATGGCATGGGTTTTTGCCTAAAGCAATGATGCAATCTCCGAAGAAATTGTTCAGAACAGATTACTATAGCATATAGCTACTATACAAACCGAACGATCGGAATCAAGCTCTTTAAGGAATCTTTTGTATTTGTGAAGGGTATTATAGCTTAGGTGCAACCGAAGATAACGTATTTTCTAGTGTTAATTTCAATTTGAAGACGATAAGGAATTTCAACAACATTTTTTATAACAACTGATATGAACGATATAAAATTAACTTAGAAAACTCTTTACATTCCCCTCAACAGTTGGCTCTACATAACCGAAACGATCAGGATTTATATACGGTCAATCACTGTCAAGTCAGCAGAATTTATTAATATTATATTTTATGCATCTACAATAACAATTTCTTGAGGAATGCTATGTCTCTATATACACAACATCCATTCGGACCAAATTGCATTTACACCAATTTGTACTTGGAACTTGGAAGAAAGCGTGCACGTGGTTATCTGTTGTATGGTAAAGTCGAAAGACCTTTAAATAATGTTAGTTGCAAAGTCGTATAAGTAATTGGGATTTTTTAATTCCAAGCTGTACTAACATATATTCCAGAGAATGTAATATAACTTCAGTAGTTTTGGATATACACATATTAAACATAAGTTCACTACTTTTAATCAAGTTTCCAAACGTATCAAGTTTGGTGCAGATATACAACTTTTAAGTGTGTCTGTTGCGCAGATAAATTGATGGAGAGACAGACATCGTCTATTTGATTTCTGTCTATAATCTAACTATTTCTATCGCTTCTAATCCCATATTTAACTCAATATAACATATACAGACAATTGTTATCGAAGTTATGTAGCATAAACACATTTTCTAACATCACTGCGAAACACAGATATAGCTTGCTCTTCTCCATTTTTTTATAGTAAATTAAGCATCATTGTTATAAGCATATTTTATTTGTATCACTGTATTTCTTTAGGGAGTAGTCCAACTTGTTAGAAAAGTGTTTACTCAAAATGACAAATTTATTTATTCTATTTTTTTTTGGAGACAGGGTCTCCACAACAATTATTTTTTCTAACAGTAATAAAAAAAATACTCAACTAACAGCAAAAAAAAAATCATATTAAATTTCATACTAGTGCTTATAATCCAGTCTTAAAACTATTTAACAATCTTGCTAACATTTACATTACTTATTATTTACAAATTGTAATCCATTTGGAACTCAACAGCTACATATGCGTAAACAAATCCATTCAAAACAGTTTCAGGTTAACATAATCCTTCAGTCAACTATTGTTGTCAATAGCCGATAATTGATTTATATTTAACTCAGGGAATAAAATAGAAATTTCTCTTGTCGCAGATTCTTCACTATCGGAACCATGGCAGGCATTACGTGTATCCGAGAGACCATATAGCGCACGTATACAATCAGGATGTGAGTACACAGTTTTGAAAACCTTTGTTGGGCCCATCAATTCGCGCCACTTGGCGATACTGCCTTTTGACTGCAGCACGAACGCATGACAAGGGCCACTGGCAACAAAGAATGGTAAAAAATAATCTTTATTGACTTATGGATTTATATAGGATAATAATACCTGCCCATAAATGTCACAAGTCTATTGTAGAAGAACTTTCCTTTATGCTCGGCATAGAAATGCTCAGACAACTCTTTCGTAATATGCACTTCTTTGGTGTGTAGTATTGTAAAATGCTGCTCTATCATTTGTTTTATCTGTTGGAATGCGTAGACATTACGAACTACATGTGGTTTAAGGAGCGCCAAAGTAATTTCCATTTAAAAAAATTATATGTTTACTTAAAATTACCGAAATGCTAAAATTGAATGGAATTTTAATCAGCTGTTCTGTGAGAATAGTAGAAACAGCCACTAAAATGTTCCCAAGTTGTTAGTTGCCAGGCAACACTGATAAAACCAGAGAACGTAAAATACATGATATACGTTCTTTGGTAATGTTTTGTTTTTAATTTGCCGCTGTGCAACACTGCAATAAACTGCTTTCCGAATGTTTCCATAAAGAAATGTCAAACGCATACTATTTATTGATTGATTTCTTTACGTTCTTCGTTAGTGTACTTTGGCAAATACTTTTGTTTACAAAATTACAAAAATAATGGCAAGTTTATTGATAAATTTACTGTGCCAAACACAATTTTAATGCATGGAATTAATATTGCAGGCGACAAGCAGTGGTAAAAGTTGCAACAGCGGTAGTGGTGGTGTACTAGAAGAACGACGTATATGGATTGGCAATTTAGATCCAAGGCTAAGCGAGTAAGTTAATAGTTCCTTATCTACTTTGTATATTGTGGTTTGTTCAGTTAAACTAATCTGTCAATTTCATTTTCGTGCGTTGCTATTATTGGTATCAACTCTTGAAAATTTTGCAAAAATGCGGTCCTGTCGAAAAGTTTGATATGCTCTTTCACAAGAGCGGCCCATTGGTTGGGCAATCGCGTGGATATGCTTTCGTCACATTCGGAACGGTGAGTAAACATAATACTGGCAAAACTTGTGTACTTACTAAAGAAATCACTTTAAATAGGCGGACGCGGCGTTAAAAGCTCTGGAGAAATTAAATGGCACACCCATAGCGAATCGGCCAATTGTGATACGGCTGGCGAAGAATGTTAATTACGTAAGTGTCTACACATTATTTTAAGTAGACACGCATATCCTTCATATGGTTACATATACATATATTAATGCTTCTCATGTTTAGGACGAACTCAACAAACAAAAACCACGCATCGAAATACCTGCACTTGGTTCCAGCTCACGCGATGAACAAATGAGTAGAGAAGATGCGATACGAGCAATAGAGTCGAAATTACGTGCGCTGGAACGCAACGGTGAGGAAGAGTTGGAGTTGAATCTTTTGAACTCGGCTAGCACACAAGTACCGTTTATACAACGTTATCAATTCAACAAAGACCGTGATGTAAGCAGTAGTACCTCAGGCGGGCGCACATACACAAAGCCATATAATTCTGCGCCATATAACCGACATCAGCGGCCAAAACGAAGATAGAAACTGGAAACGACGGGAGGTATCGACAAATTCTGTTTAGTGTTTATTCTGTATCGTGGAACAATGTATCTGGACTTTCATCAATTTCATCAAGTATTTATAATTGTATTCATATGCGCGCTATCCATCCGTATACTTATCAAATATTGTGTTCAGAGACTTAAGCCAAATAAAGTGATTTATTTGTAAACATTGTAACTTGATATATGTGTTTTATTTAGGAATTAGGCTAAAAGTGTAAAATGCTGGTTTTTGTCATATTACTTTGGCGCAAAGATAAATTTGCCACGCAGATGATCAGGCAATTTAACAGTGCCAGGGCATAGCACTTGACCGGGTATCTCACAGATGCAATGTCTATCGCAGCCATAACCAAAGTTGGCAGGATTGTCTTTACTCTCCGCTAAATGTGCCTCTGCGTCCAATTGGGCCCTGTAAGGTGAATAGAAAGACGGAAAATTGTACGTAAAAATAAAGAAAACACGCTAACTTCGGCTTCACCGAAGCAATTACACCCTTCATATATAAAAAAGTTTCCATACAACTTGATTTTGATTGGTCAAGTTAGTAGCCTTGCCTTAGTTAGTAATCCCTGCCAAATTTCGTGATGATACCATGTCAAATAAACACGTTTTCCATACAAGAACTTGATTTTGATCATTCGGTACATATAGCATCTATGCCATAGTTAACCGATATCGACGGTTCCGACAAATAATCAGCTTTTTGGGAAGAAAAGGACGTGTACAAAATTTAAGAGCGATGTTTCAAAAACTTAGGGACTACTTCGCGTTATACAGGCAGAAGGAAGGCTTGTCTTGCTGATCTTTTATATATACATTTTATAGGGTTTCCGACCTTCCTTTCAAGGCATAACAAGGTTAACAGTTGTACAGGTGTCTCGCTGGAGGTTTACGACGACATTTCTCTACAGTACTCACTTTGACTTGCCAACAACTTTGCACAGATGTTCTATAATTTCCTCACGATCTCGGCTATCTATGTCGATGAGCATATCACGTCCGTCGTCAAAGTAGCAGCGCACAAACGGTGAGGGCGTCAAGTTCTTAAATGTCACCACTTGTACATTTGGATTCTTATATTGTATTTGATTCAAATTCCAAAACACAAAATCTCTAAAAATATATAAGGCATTAGATGAAACAAACTTAAGCCTGGAACTGTGTTGGATAACACTCACCTGGCGCCTTTGTGGTGGTCACCATACACATTGTAATTGACACTGAAGATTTTCACTTTGTCCTTGAGCACAAGGCGTCCTGAATTCAAATATTCAATGGTACGCCGTATAGGCGCGCGACCCTTCATGAAAGGCATGCCGGCAGACTTTTTTATTTAAGTTTTATTAGAGAAAATAAGAAATTACAAAACCAAAGGCCGCCTATTGAAAATGCGGTTGCATATATGCACAGCTGACAGTTTATGCAAACAGCTGTTTTCGAATTCGAAGTCCAATTAGCAAAACTATAGCGCTACTATATCGACAGTAATGGCTTCCGTTCCGTTAGTTTTGCAGACATTTTCGACAAATTTCTGTGCGCGTTTTTGTGAAATAATTGTTTTTTTTTACTGTGTAAAGTGATAAAAGGTGCTATTAAGTTGTGCTTTTTTGTTTATAGTGTGTTTATAATGTGTTACAGGAAACACAGTGCAAATGCCTATGCCCTCATTATGGTGCTTGTGTGTTTGTTCGTCATTTTGCCGAAACGCCTGTTACCACTTATGTGCAGGAAAATTTTCTTTAATAAACTTTCTATTTTAGCAATGAAAAGCTTTTTAGCATGATTTTTAAGTTTATTTACAGCTTCTGCTGTGTTTGTGAAAGTAAACAAGTTTATGCAAATGCTTACAAGTGCCATTTTAGCAAGCAAAGGCAGTCTTTTTAGCATGACTTCGCTTAGCTGTGATTTCATATTAGGGTTGTACAATTCGAATTTCGAAGTTCGAAGTATTCCGGAAAAATGTTTCCTGGAAGTGTGCAATAGTGTTTTGCCTTTATGGTTAATGGTGATTTGTATTTCCGGTAAATGTGAGTGTTTTGTGATAGAAAATTTAAAATATCAAAGCGGCTGCTCGGAATGGCTTGTGGAAATTTGCATCAGGTGGTAAGTGAGCATTTTATACATTGTTTATTAATATAGCTATGGTTGCGAATTTGTTTAGAAAAATTGGGATTATATAATAAATTTTATGCTTGTTAATTCCAAAGCAGAATTAAAAATTAATAAAATATTTTTAATTTAAAAATTGAAGTAACAAGTAAAAAAAAAGAATGATTAAAAACTAAAAAGGTAACAAAACCTCATTATTAGAAATAATACCGAAATCAGAATTAAAAATCCGAAATTAAAAATTAATAAAATACGTATTTTTAATTTAAAAATTGGAGTATCAAATATTTTTTAAATCAAATGCTGGAACAAAAATGGATACAAATTTAAGATTTATTGTACATATTTCTAACTGAAAAATTATAATTAATATTAATTTAATGTAAATAAGACAAATAATGTCAAACCATTTTTATTGGGAATTTAATAAAAATAAGTCTTCCTTATAAAAAGATAATCAAAACGGTAGAACACGAAATTACAAAATTCAAATTTATAATGAAAAACTGCGGTTTATCATTTATATATTTGTCAACCCGGTATTTACCACATAAAAATTTTTCTTTTTAATTTTCCTTTCACTTTAATTTGTTGTAATTTTTTAGGTCCGGTAATTGAAAGATCATATCTTATTATGAGTTTTGGGATTACATAATAAAAAATATTAATTTAAGTGTTAATTCAATTATATTTTTAATGAATTATTTCTTCCCTGTATATTTACAGGTCGGTTGAAAAATTTCTGCGCTCGAAATAAAAAAATACTGTTTTTGGTACGAAATATATATTTTTATTCAATATAATCTCCCTTAACTTCAATACACTGATTGCAAAGATCCTCCAATAATTTTATGCCATCCCTATAATGACTTTTTGGAAGCTCTGCGAAATACCCGTCCACGGCTGTAATGATTTCTTCATTCGGCAAAAAACGCTTTCCACGAAGGAATTGTTTCAGGTTTCTGAAAAGTTAGTAGTCGTTGGGATCTGGTGAATATAGTGGCTGCTCCAGCAATTCGTACTGGTTGAGTTTTGTTATTGTTAAAACACCTTTGTGGGCAGGTGCATTGTCTTGATGAAAAATGAATTTTTTGTGCTGCAAACCAGGTCTTTTCTCACGAATTTTTTCATCCAGCTGGTCTAAAAGGTTGCAATAATATTCAGAGTTGATTTTTTATTTTTCTGCAGATAATCAATCAACAAAAATCCTTTTGCATCCCAAAAAATCATGTCATAACCTTCTTTGTTGATCATTGTGACTTCACCTGCTTTGGAGCTGAACAACCAGCTTCAGTCCACTGTTAACGTTCTTGTTTCAATTTAGGACCATGGTGGTAGATCTAAGTCCCAACCATAGTTATAAAACGACACAAGAAATCGGTTTTATTCTGTTTAAAACGCTCCAAATTATGCTGAGAAATTTGTTTTCGATCCCGAAAGGGGTTTCGAAGTTAATGTTTTGCTCCTATATCGATTTCAAGGCCATTTTCCACCCAGCAAACGGTAGAATAATCTCTTCAAGTATTTGGACGTGAAGGTGTAATTTTATACTTTCCTTAATAAAAAATATTGGACCAAGCAAAGCCAGGAAAAACTCCCACACACTTTTTGTATGTTTTGGAATGCGGTTTTGTCGGCGCTAAAACATTAAAAACGAAGTTTTGCGTACGTTCAACATTTTCGGCAATCTTACACTGCTTCTTTCCTTTCACGATTATGTTTTGTAATTTGCCTTGCAGTTGCTCTCTTACTCCTCAAAGTATGTAGTTTATTTATAATTGTAAATAAACTGTTTGAACTGAAATATAAAAGATTCTTACCTCACCTTTAACATAATTAGGTAATTAACAATTATTTAACAATTTACTAAAATTAAATATCGTGTTATTGTGAAAGAACTTTCTTCGAATAAAATTGTTTTAACTTATATTAAAAAGGGATAATTTTTCCATCAGCATCTGTCTAAATGTCGTAGCTATACAGAAGATGTAATCAAACTCTAAACAAATTGCTTGTTACCGCTCTTAATATTGGCAATAAAGCCTCATAATAATCCGTCAAACAGATGTTAACTTTTTTACACTTTATCCATTACTGCCTACATACATATATATGTATATTGCTCTATGTGCGTCTATATCTAAATATATCTACTTATATATAGGCTTATATATAATATTGTAAATCTCTAAAGACTCATAAAGCAACGTCATTATGGATGTGTTACTAAAACACAAGGCTTCAAAGTTGATACTTGTAGAGAAGAATGTTAATATTTGCTTCATTTGTGTGTACGTATATACTTGTAAATATGTATATGTAAATATTTGTTTGTGCTTGTTTAAGTTGTAAAAACGTTTTTCTAAACGCATTGTTGTTTGCTCTTTCATTTCTTCTTTACTCATTGTTTCAACCAATAACTTATCAGTGCTTTTTCATTCAATGCATCTTCGTTTTTTGTTTGCAACACACTTTAGCTTTTCCACTGATTTTTTCCATTTGATGGCTTTCTACATTTACCATTTTCATAACTGACCATTAACATAAGTCTAGAGGGAATTTATCTGGCTATTAATGAACACTGGAATTTGCATGTGAATTTGCATATTGTTGTAGTTGTAATTTATAGATATGTACTAAATACTAACTAAATACTCTTACTACTGATCATGGTGTTATTTTGTGTAAAAGAACCAATGAGCTTTTATGGTGAAAAAGTTAAATACTTTTCCAAAAAATTCAAAAATTTTCTATACACAGCAACAACAAATTTTAGGGGCTATATCCACTTGCAAGTCATATTTAATATATAAAAAATAATAATGTACATTTAATGAATTTAATGTCCTTCAACAATCACTGATTTATTTTTAAAACATTTGGATTCCTTTGATCCCGTAGCTGTAGAAAATAGGTATCTGGTGGCGATGACAATGTTTATACCCTGAACAAAGTATATTAAGTTTGCAACGAAGTTTGTAACACCCCAACGTCGGAGGCCCTATAAAATATATGCATAAATAATGAGAATGATGAGCTGTGTGGATTTAGCCATGTCCGTCTACCTGTCT